TGGTTAGTTGCCTGGACTCACGAAATTCACAAGATCACATTAGATGTCAAACTGCAGGAAAATCGCTGGAGTTTTAAGAGGCAGACAACTAGACCCACACCACGTGTATGCTATCGCTATTTATTGTGGTTTAGCCTGTCAAGGACAAAAATGTACAGAAAATTCTGCATCAAGCCTTGTAATCATAGCTTTCCTAGTTTTGTTAAGCCTGGATTGACAGCTTTGTGGCGTGATGGGTTGTGCTGTTGCCTCACAGCAAGAAGGGCCTGGGTTCAAATCCACAATCTGGCTGGTTTGCAGTGTGTAATTAGAGTTAGTTTAATTGGTGATTCTAAATTACTCATGAATGTAAGTGCAAATGGTTGTTTGTCTCTATGAAATCATCAACCTGCATATTGGTTCATTAAGCAAGACTAGCAGTAACTGCCTTGATTAACAAAGTAGTTGTTTAAACAATACGATTTCATTGCTTTTTCCTGAAGTTTTTAACTTGTGTAGAATGAATTAAAACAAATTTTACTCTACATACTTAAATAAATCACTTCAAGGCAATGTAAGTATATTACGTTGATCCAGCATAATGTGATTACATCAAACCACCAAATACCAAATGTGTTTGTTTGACATGGTCAAAAATGGGTTATTGTACTTGGTTAAATCACGTGGAAATAGGTGCCGTGATTAACTTGTGTTTATCCAACAACTGATTTTTTTTGAGTGCAGGCGTGTCACTACGAATACAGATGGATGGATGTCTTACCTTCCCTTCCACACGGTGTAGCTAAGACAAAATGAAGGCCGGGCTAGCCAGAGACTTCACAGAATAACACATTTTATGGTTGTATTTAAAACCGCCAAGTGGCTTCAGTTAAATTTGAGAATGGATTCTGCATACAAAACGGGATTTCTAGATACATGGTATTTTATTTATTTATTAACTCCGTCATGTAGCAGAGGTCCTTTCTTAAACTTCCAAAAAGTCCAAGCTGACTGATTATCACAAGGTGAACCCATTAACAAGCGTTTTGGGGTTTTTTTGGGTGTTTTTTTATTAGTATTCTGCTTTAAGGGCAGAAAATCTCTACGCTTAACTCCTTTGCATTAGGAGCCAATTATACAGCTGAAAAAAAATGACCCAGGGTAGTTTGGTGTCCAAGGTTGTTTGTGCTGACATTCTGCTTTTCAAATGCCAGTCTGTTAATTATGCAAATGGACCACAGGGCCTCTGTTCAACATATACATAGGCCCCCTTCATGTGTTCACAGTACCATATACCGTGTGAGTTATTAGAGTAAGCCGTCCCTTTTCCTAGATACAATAAAAACTGAAATATGAACAAGGCTCCTTCGGCTGCAGCGAGCCTCCCTTTCCAGTGTCCCTCTCAGACTTTCAGGCCCTCACTCTCCTCCCCTGTCCTCTTTTTCCTTGTGGTGCAGTTCTTTGCACAGCGATGCTATGCGACACCGGCCAGCTTTAGAGGAGGCGAGTCCACATTGCATTAATTCTGTGCAGAGCGAAATCCAGTATCAGATGTAATGGGTTTGAATCCAAAGCCCTGGAGCAATGTTCTGTGCTGCTGTAATGGTGGTGAGAGTAGGCAGAGATCCTGCACTCATCAGAATGGTGCCTAACACACACACACAAACACACGCTCACTCTCTCTTTCTCTCCCAATCTATCTCTCTCATTCTCATGTTTTCTCTCTTGTTCTTCCCATTTTCCACTCCTCCCTTAATTTCTCTCCCTTCACTGGAGCAGACCAGAGGTGTACACCACCCTGCCTCTTACTCGTCCCAACCTCCTTGCCATGTTGTTGCCTAATTACTGTCTCTAAACAAGGGTTTTGTCCCCAGCAGTCCTCAATTAAATGTCTGCTGCTCATTCGCAGATGGATAATTGTTTTGGGGGTTTTTTTTTCCCTTTCTCGCTGTCTTCCCCCTTTTCAGCTCAGGCCACATTTAGTCAGGTATTCTGCAGAAGGCATCAGGGAATAATGCTAAAAAAGCCCGAAGGTAAGTTTCCCTTTTCTTGTTTGCTTTTTTCCACCTCTTATTTTAATTAAGGAACAGCATCCCACCGTGAGCAGGGGAACATTTCCAAGACGACATATGATTGGTGCAGGGAGTTAGAGTCAAACTGCCTGCTCCAAAAAAATGCAAGTGATATAAATCCATGAAGTCTTTCTTAAAAGAAAAAAAAAAGAAGAAAGACTGAACTTTGACTAATCAAACACACATTTGGTTTTAAATGAAATATTTGACCTATATTAAATGATGAGGTACATCGCCATAAAGTGGTGTTTAACTTTGTGGAACCCTGTAAAACTTGCAGCTGCACGCTTTATCGTGCATGTAACAACTTCAGCCTGCTGTTTTCTTTTTAGGAATGGGGGCAGGCTTGGGATCATTGGAGTGGAAGTAAAGCTTTATGGCTCTTTGGTGACAACATCCTGCATGTTTTATGGCATTGGAAGTATCTGTTACTTTTTCCAGCCATTTCACCAGTCCAGAGACTTTGGGGAAATTATGAAATCAAAATAACAAAGGGCATTTATGCAGAAATATGTCCTTGTTTGTCTCTGAGGTTGAGTAGGTTATCCTCTTTATGCTGTGTTTGCATTTACAACAGCTAAATTTGCTTTCCGTAGTTTTGTGGGAGATTCCCCTGCCAGAGTCCCCAGCAGCCTAAAGACAGAGTTTAAGTGCCTCTAATGCTGTAAAACATAAACACCCAGAACAAGCGGCTGTCCTCTGGCTGCACCCCTTTCTCTTCTTTCTATCTTGGGAAAACAAGGGGATTCCCTGCGCTCACCACAAAGATGAGGATGCATATGTTTACGGCTCTCTCTGTCTACCGAGGCTCCGCTTTTTATTGTGATGGATGGTGAGGCAAAAGGGGAGAGCGATGGCCCTTGCCTCCCCGTCACCTAGCCATGAACAGCGAGCAGCTCGACCGACAGTGAGGTAATTACACCATCATTATAACACGCACTTGTGCACAAGCATACTTATTCGCACACTACATAAACACAGTCCTCTACACACCAGATGGGGACCCCAATGTCTTCAGCCTGATGACTCCCTCCCTCCCCTCCTCTGTACATCTTTCCTCTACTATCTTTTTTTCTCAGTTTCCCTCTCTATGCCAACTAGGGAATTCCAGCCTTCCAGGAAAGCTTGCCAGCTCTGGACCACAGAGTGTGTCTGCGAATATTTGTGTATGTGTGTGTGAGAGAGCAAGAGAAAGAGAGAGGCACCGTCTGTTTGCATTGTATGTGCACATATGCACAGTTCATCTGGGCATGCTAATCCTCACTATTAACAATTGGTAAGTATTTAACACTGGTCTCTCATTGACAAGCTGACAGATGTGTGAGCTTTTGTGATGCTGTGCTGGAGGGAAGAATATCGGACAACTGTATTATTGCACTTTACCTTATAATATAAAGCACCTAGAGGCAACTGCTGTTGTGATGTGACGCTATATAAATAAAATTTCATTGAATTAAATCGAATTGAACATGTTTTTCAACGTTTCTAAAAGAAAGTCTAAAAAGCATTGGCTCTTTCTTTTTTTCTCCTCCCTTTTTTCTCTGTGTGTTGGTATACTACGTTGTTTTGTCTGTGAATCTTGGGTGTGGCCTTCTCCAGACCCTCGCTTCATTCAGGTTCTCATCACTCTTCTGTAAATCGTACCACCTCTTTGATGTATTCATTTCAAAGAAGACTATTTCCAGTGCTTTGCATTTTGGGGTAAATAGTTGGGAATTTGTCTGTCAGTAATAATAAAATGATTGCACCAGTTTTATTTGTATATTGTATATGTAAGGTTTTTGACTGTGTGCATAGTTTTTTTGTTTTGTTTTGTTTTCTTGTTTTTTAAAGAAAAAGTACATGGCCTTAATAAATGTGAATTTGAAGAGAGAGAAAAACAGGACAGGGAGCATTTAGCTCGGAGAGGTTAGCTGGTATCCAGCTGAGGTATGTATAGTGCAGGGCAACAGTGCACAACAGGACATCAAACTTCCAGGGAAGATCAGTAAGGCATTCAATACGCCCTTAAATGTCTTGTTTCATGTCCTTGTCAGAGCACCCCTGATGCTTTGCTGTGTAACAGATGAGTAAGAAAAGAGTGGAAATTGTGCCATGCACTTGGTTGGGTCATTGGACAGGAATATGGCAACACTGATAAAAAAAATCTAGAGGAGCTGTCTCATTTCTTCCCCCTTTAGTGTGCTCATATACCTGGTCTGATGAATTATGATAGATTCTCAACCCCCACCCCAATGAGAATAAACAAGAGAAATTATACACCATGGAAGCATGAGGCCAGTCTATAAATAGCAGCGGTGCTTTTTTGCCCGGGGATGTAGTTGCATTTTTACAGGTCAGACTGTGATCTCCTCTTAAGCCTTTGCATTGAGACACAGCCGCAACATCTCTAGAGTGTTGACCTTGCTGTTTGAGGGCCCCACTTTAATCTAATAAAGCAGGTGGCATCTTAAAAAGGAAGAGCTGGACGGAGGAAGGGGCTTAATTGGGTTTTCAGATCGTAGAAGGGATGCTGTTATTAATCACGTTTTAGGGTCCATGAAGCCTTCCTAGCTCCGAAGGATGCATGACATATAAACTAAGTGACGTCTGCAGACGTAACTACTGTTAATCAGTCTCCCTAAAAGCCTTCGCAGAAAATAATGGTCTCCATAAGAAATAATCTAGGATCCACACTACAACCGTGGCTGGCGGCCAGCAGAGTGATGTGTGCGGTTTAAACGGCCCCCGCATCCTGCCCGCTTATCTGTAGGTGTCCCGATGATCGCTCGGCGTTCTACTCCTCTCGTCTATTTTTTTTTTTTTTTTTTTTTGCTGTATCCCAACCCTCCTCCAGAGCTTCCTCCTCCTCCTCTTCCTCCTCCTCCCCTCCCTCTCCCGACTAAGTTCGATGCGATCGGCTCTGGGCCCTGCCGTGAGTTCTCGGTGCGGGCGACAGCGCTGCTGAACATGGCGTCAGACGGGATGATTTTAACGAACCACGACCACCAAATCCGGGTCGGAGTCTTGACAGGTAAACGCAGAAATGTCCATCGCCCGTTTCATCTTTCGCTCATGTTTCTGTGAATTCATTTCCGCCGGCTGTCGGCCCGGTTCTTCATACGTGTCGGCTGGCTTTGCTTGGCGGCGGCGGCGGCTCTCAGTCTCTCACTGATTTTTTTTCCAGCCTCTTGAAGGCGATGCTGATTTAAAGCCGGGTCTTGGGGTTTTTTCCCCCCCTCTCTCCTCTCTTACCGGTATGCATGACAACCGGTGCTAATGTGGTAAATGTGGGCTCTGCATTGGCGTGTGTAGATTTCTTGTCGAGCCGTTTTCCCTGCTGCTGCTGATGCTGAAGAAGAAGAAGCGCTCAGTTTGTGCATTGAATAATTCATGCCCCTATCTGCTTGTCAAAGCTGAGAATTACAGCTGACCGTGTGTTGTGTCGATACTGAAGATGCTCAGCCTCTATGTTGCATTACGGGCACCCAACTGACCACAGCATTTTTTTAAGTGCTGCTCACGACAGTTGCTGAAGGTGGATGTGGTGGTGATGATGATGAGCGCATCTTTGGCCTATTTAGAGCAGTGGCTGATGTGAGAAATTCAGTGAAATGAGTGTTAGACGGCTCACTGGGGGTTATTTTGTGAATGGCATTGCCGACCGAGAAGTTTGGGCTGTGTGATAACAGCTCTGGCTCGGTTTGGTAGGGCTGAACACACCGGTGAATCCTGACATTCCTCTGAACGCAGAGCGATGACGGCGCGTCTCTCGCTTACCAACACTGGAAACGTTCTGCGTTTAGATGCGATGTGAGGCTATGAGACGGCGGATGGTGTTGGATCTTGTCGCCGCCGGCCTTCATTTTACCCATATCTGTCACGCGCGCGCGCGTGTGTGTGTGTTAGACTGCTGCTTTGTCATGTTTCAAATCGGTAAAGCATAAGGCGAGGCGAAAATCAGCAGTTGTGGTCATGATCGGAAAGTAAATGAAACAGATTTGCTTTTTTTAGTGATATGGAGCGAGGGAGGGAGGGATGGAGACGATATCGGTGCTGGTAGTGGGAGCATGATAAAGGCTGTGCAAAGGAATACCCCCCCTCCACCCCCTCCAACCTTCCCCCCTCACCCCCTCCCTTTCCCTCTCTCTTCCTCTCCGTGTCCATGAGGCTGGATCGATCAATATTTCATGAAAAGCCGTGATCTCTCTCACACACATACGGTATTCCTCCGTATGGAAATCCAGTACGGAGGAGGTAGTAGGCGGTTTGCAGCGATGGAGGAATGACTGTGTAGACCCTCTGCTGAAATCTGCCAGGGAAACCCCCTCCATCACCAACAACAACACCACCACCACAACCACTCGTCTCCATCTCCATCCCTCCTCCTCCTCTCCCTCCTTCTCTCCTAGCGCTGGAGGAAAGAGGCAACGCGCTGTCCGTGGTGCTGAAATCCAAGCGTCACTCACAAATCAGTGCGGTACTGACCCTACCACAGTAAATACTGCATGAGGTAGATACAGCCGGGAATGTAGCGGAGGATAAACGCATCCCAAGCCACTTTGATTTCTCTTCTTATCTACATCATCGTTTTTGGGCTGTATGATGGGGAGTTCCAAAGAGAAATAGTCATCAGCTGATGAGGATTTGGCATTAAAATTGGAAGTAAGCTTTTCTTGTGGATTCTGATTATGTTGGTGGCTGTTAGGTGGCTTATGTTCATCACCAACAGGAGGTCAAAGGATACTCATCCCTTTTTCATTTTTTTTAAACTGACATTAAGGCCCACGCCACATTAGAGGCGGTTAATTTCTGTGTGTGTCATCAGTCACTTAAATCCCCAACTGTATCCCCAGCAAACTGACAGATTGCCAGTTTGATCCTGCTGTGCAGTGTTGACAATTCCCGCATACATATGCCGATGTTGAGACGCACAGAGACACAACCGACAGCTTATTTGTCTTTTTGATGTATTTGTGTGTGCATATGGAAAAGGAAGGCTCGCACTGTCAGGTGAAACAAAGTATCAAAGGCGTGAGGGGAAAATCCTGCAGGAAATGGTGCACAATGGCATTAAGTTCCCATGTTGTACCTGACCCCTGGTCTTTTAAGACTCTAATCATGCTAGGATTACTACAATAACCTCTGCGTGTTTTGTTTTGGGTGGGGTTTTTTTCTCCTTTTGGGGAATTTACTGAGAGATGATGTATTTTGACAGCAAAAAAAACCTCCCCTGCTGTGATGCCAGAAAGAAGCAAAGCATTCAGGTTGACTGAATCTCTCTTACAACTCAGAACCTTGTTGCTAAGCCTCAGTCTTCTACATCGACAGTGTTCATTCCGAGTCTGCTATGGTATGGGCCGTGTGTGTGAGCAGAATGCTAATGGAGTCTTGAGCGTTGCTCAATCTCCTTTTCTGCCAGGGTCAAAGGTCACCCGTCCACTCCTGCATTCAGTCACCAGGGAGCAGATGAGACCTTGGCTCACCCTCCTCCATCACTTAGCCCCACATCTCTTTAGACAGGTGACAGAGCCCAGGGGACATCTCTGTTTAGACCCTGGACACCGTGCAGGAGCGGTGAGCTGGCATCTCCAAGTGTGTGTGTGTGTGTGTGTGTGTATTAGAGAGAAAGAGAGAGAGAGAGGGGGAGAGATAATGTATGTATTTTGTTGAATGTTTGAAGAAGAGGTGGGGTTTATTTGTGAGGAGAGGGAGGTAGAAAACTGGATAATTGGGGTGAACATGCTGTCACTTGTCAAAGATATCGCATTGAAAATATGAGCTTTGTTAGGAGTGGATGAAAGCTTCTCACGCTGAGCTCAACCTTTGTGCGTGCTTGTATCATTTTTTTGCGTCTACCTGTATGTAAGTGCTTGTGTGGTTGTGTATTTTTATGCATGATTGCTCAGTGGCTACTTTCGAACTGTCTGTGTTTCTTCCACTTTACCGTGAATTTTAATTGTCCTATGCCTCCCACCCTGGGCCTGCCTCAGGGTCTGAGCACTCATCTACACACTCACTTCCTGTGAGTGTGTACTTGTTTGTTGCATATGCATTTGCGTACTCCATTCAAACACTCACATGTCATATATTTCTTGCTAAATTAGTGGTCTGACTTGGCATGATGTATATTATGCATTTACAAAATGTACTTTGTATAAAAATATGGCAAAGATTTTGACTATTCTATGACATCTTGCCTTGTGAGGTCCAGGTTCGCTAATACTAACTACATGATCATTTGCACTCCAGTTTTTGTCTGAATTGTGTGTGTATGTGTGTGTCCTTTGCACGCACAGTATGTGCATTTGCATGTGACTCCGCTTTGCTCTTCATCTTTGTGTAGTAATACCAAGCTCTGGCTGGGAAACACAGCTTCCAAATCCCCCCAGCCCCAAATATAGCCACTGTATGCATACCTCCCATGATCACGCACACTGAGAGAGTGTGTAAGAGAGAGACTGCGTGAGAAAGAGAGAGTGAGAGCAGCAAAAGGCATTCAGTGGCTTTTAATCTGTGCAAAGCTGGCACGTATGTGTGGGACCATACAGTATTATTACACGGCAGCGCCCCGTGCAAACGCCACGGATGCTCTTGGATGTGTGGCTTGATTCGCAGCCCACTGAAAACTCCATTGATGGTGGATGTTGTGTGTGGGTTAATGCTAGCCTTTCCTCAAAGAGACTTGGACACAACCTCACCACCAAGCTTCCGACGAAGAGCCGAGGCAGGAAAGCTCCACTGTGCGACAGTCAGCACATGTTTTTCCCTCTCCGATCTCCTTGTACCCCTTTCTCGGTCTTGTTTCCACCTCCCCACCCCACACATATTTAGGCTCAGGGACATGTGGGCATCTCTCCAAACTTACATGTCTATCAGAAAGACATGAACTGACAGCAGGCAAGCTTGCCAAAACAACCACATTTAGATCACGCTCTCCATTCCTCTCTTAAGTAGAACTAATTCTGTGAATCTCATCAGAATGAATGAATGAAGCATTTACCACCATCCTTTTTTTTTAATCATATGAAGTCTGCATTTTATTACTGAGTTAAAGACCCAACATGCTGTCCTAGAAATGAGACAGAGCAACAAAAAAAAAAAAGAAATAGGAGAGTAAAATAATTATTTTTTGAACATATATGTATTTCCCCTGCTTATTGAATAGTGCCCCAAAATTTTCAACCACAAAAATCTTGCATTAGTTCCCTTCGGCCTTAATGTATTTTGCTCGTGTGCAAGTGTGCAGGCTCACGGGATTGCAGAGATGTAAGTGTACCTTCTTGTGTGTGTACTTGTCTGGCTGCAGATGGGATAATAACTATTTAATCAGCTTTTCCACATAATTTAATCTCTGGAGTTTATCCCAAACTCACCTTAACAACTTAGGTGCTAAAGAGGCTCTCAAGAGTAACAGGAGTCAAGTCAGCAAGAGGTGGAGCAGCTTGCCAGCGTACCTTGACCAAAATGCTATCGGGTGTCACCAAACAACACGGGTGTGTGCCAAATAATGGAGCAATTTCCTCTTAGTGTCTATTTATGACACAACAAAGCAAAGTGCAGTTTTTGGCATTGTGGCCATTCCCATCTTGGGCTTTTTTTTTTAGAGCCAACGGTGACGGCATTTAGACAATATGGTCATTATTATTGCTGCATTAATTGGCAAGCTACAGGGAGGTTGGCAAACTGCATCCATAAATTGTAGGATTGAATCACACAGATACCTGATAATTAGTGTTAAATAACATATAAATAAAAATGTACAAGTTGGCAAACCAAAACAAGGAACACATGTTCTGCATGGTCTGTTTTTACAATTAACTGCAAGCCCTGTAATTCATCTTTCATTAAGTGCAGCAGCAGCACTCCCAGTATGGCCTAGAGGTCCAGTTCCATGTCTGAATTAGGGGAGGTGAAGGGCAGCAATGCTAAGTTACTAATGAAATACTAGAAATGAACTAAAGGCAACAACACCACAAACATGGTTGAGAGGTTCAGCTCAGTCATTCGCCAAACAGATATCGGCTACAGCTG